AAAATAAGAGAATTGAGAGTTTTTTACCATGATGTGTAGAATACAATCGATATGCTTTGTATTTATAAGTATAAATACATCAATAAAAGTAAATAAAATATACAAAATAATGATAATTGAAAAATATTATAATAATTGAAAGATAATGAAAAATCTTAGATAATAAATATTCACATAATATCATAATATTTATAATAAATTTTAAATTTATAAACATGAAGGGTTTTTTTTTGGAATACAAGGACACGAAAAACTCGTGTAAAAGAAGGAAAAATCAGGCTTTGTCAGATTCCATAAGGGATTTGCATCTTGGAAGCGGATGATTGTAAATAGTAAGGTTGAGATTATCTCGAGATGCAAGGTGAGCGAGCATGTCCGCACATCTGTTTGCTTCCCTGAACGTGTGGTCGAAGGTAATGATCCAATCTTTCATGATAAGAGTTCTAACTTTATTGATAGTTCTAGAGAGAGGATGATTATCAGGGAAATTATGTTGGATAAGCGAAAGTGGTTCCACCGAATCATTTGATTTTGTCGAAATGGGCATTCCAACAAAGTTGAAGTCCTTCTAAAATGCCTAATAGTTCTACTGTTGTGCTAGGATGATAACCGAGGTATTTGGAAAAACCCTTGATCCAATTCCCTTTATTGTCACGTATGATTCCACCACAAGTAGCAGCTCCGATAGAGTTGACAGCCTCATCAATGTCAAGATGGATCCAGACTGTTTCTGGGGTGGTCTAACGTGCCTCTAGCCTTTTGCAATTGTGACTTAGGAGGTTAACTTTGGATTGAAGCCTTATGTCATTGGTGATTTACTGGGTACTGGAGAAAGCAATGTCGACATTCTGAAAGATTTCTCCAGAATAGATTTTCTTGCAATGCGTCTTCCAAATGTTCCAGCAAACCTGAGTGAAAAGTCTCTGCCAAGGGATCCTTCTTGTATTTAGATTTCCTGCCTTAACTTTAGCATTCCAAATTATCCAATCCTGCACAGAAAGGGAAAAGAAAGTATTAAGTTTTGAGGGTTTCACCAGTTTAGTCCAAATGTTACGAGCTTCTATGCAGTCTTGTAGAATATGGACCGAGGAATCGAGAGAATTGCATCCAAAAAAGCAAGATCTTTGAAGAGGAGTACTCCTTTCGGTGTAGGTAGAATTGAGCTATAGTCTGTCCCAAGTAGCCTTCTAAAGAAAGCACTTGATTTTTTTCATAAGTAGGCCATTTCTAAATCATAGCACAAATGTTGGTTTTGTTACGATCCTTTTGAGAGGACATAGCTTTGTAGGCTTATTTAATAGAGAAGTTGCCATTAGAGGATGGTCTCCAAACAATGACATCATCCTCCCCCCTCAAGATTAGGTGGTCTGACTAGTGCAATGAGTCTTATTACCTCAGTAGGGCGGTGATGATTCAAAAGACTAAAATTCCATCCCCTAGCGGAATTACTAAGATAAAAAACACAAGCATGAAGAATAGGCTTCGCACTAGGGTAAGCATAAAAAATAAGAGGTCCTGGAAGAGGGGACCACTTACTGTACTAGAAGGAGGTATGGTCTCCCTTATCAATTTTCCAACCAACATGTGCCATCAATTTATTCCAAACTTTGCAAATACTATTCCAAGTGAAAGATGAGGAGCTAGGTTTGTAGACCATGGGAATAGTGGGGCTTATACATTTATATTTGTCATGAAGAATCTTGACCCAATGCCAATTTGGTTGAGTGATAAGACCCTAGAAAAGTTTCATAATGAAGGCAATGTTTTAGTTCATAAGATTTTTTATGCCAAGTCCCCCAATAGATTTATTCATAGTAATATAATCCCAAGAAATAAGGTGAGGTGTTTTGTGGCCATCAGAGGAGTCCCAGAGGAAGTTTCTTGAATTTTTCCCCAATTCCATAAGAACATTGTTAGGTAGCAACATGGTCTGCATGGCATAGCTAGGAATTGCCGAAAGAACAGAATTAATAAGAACAGTTTTCCCAGCAAAGTTAAGTAATCGACTTTTCTAATTGGTAAGGCGAGAGCAAGCTTTATCAAGTAAAGGAGTAAAGGTAAACTTAGAAGCCCTTTCATGAATTAAGGGAATTCCCAGATATTTGCCAAGATTACCCGTAAGGGGAATTCCTAATTTAGAGCTGATCTGAGAAGCCCTATTAAAGTTGACATTCCTAGAACAAAAGAGCTTAGATTTCTCAATGTTAACTTTTTGTCTAGAAGCATTGCAAAAATTTGAGAGGCATTATTGAATAATCATAGCTTGGTTAATAGATGCCTCTGCAAAAAGTAACAAGTCATTAGCGAAAAATAAATAAGAAATAAGAGGCCCATTAGTTGTTAGTCTAATTGGCTTCCACTCATTTTTATCAATGGAACTAATAATACAATGACTAAGACGTTCGATGCACAGAACAAATAAATAAGGAGATAAAGGGTCTCCCTGTCTTATGCCGTGAGAGGGAATGAATTCCTCAGTAGGTTCACCATTCCAAAGGAATCTCATACGAGAAGTAGAGATGGTAGTTCTAATCAATTTTTTGAGGTGAGTATTCAAACCAATAGAATGAAGAGTGTCGTCAATAAAATCCCAAGAGAGTCCATCGAAAGCTTTCTTAAGATCTACTTTAATAGCCATAAAACCTTTCTTTTTATTCCTAATCCTCATAGAGTGAATGATTTCTTGAGCAATTATGATATTATCACTACTTTGCCGACCTTGAATAAAGCTGCATTGAGAATCTCCAATAAGATTGTTCATACATTGATGAAGACGATTAGAGAGAATTTTAGTTATGATTTTGTAGCTGACATTACAGAGAGATATAGGCCAAAAGTCCTTCATACAAATAGGGTTATCAACTTTAGGAATGAGAGTAATGAAGGTGTCATTTATCTTATTAATGGTGTTCGGATTGACGAAGACCTTTTTAATGAGTTCAACAATGCTGGTTTTGAGATCATTCCAATAGTTGTGGATAAAACCAACATTGATACCATCCGGCCCAGGGGCTTTAAAGGCTCCAATATCAAAAGCAGCGATCTTAATTTCATCCTCGGTGACCTCTCTATGGATAGAATAGAGTTGTAAGGCAGAGAGATGGAAATCCCTTATCAGTGATGAGCTTGTCTTTTACAGGAGCATCTTCCTTGAAAAGATTTTCAAAATAAGAGACAGCCATGCTTTTCAAAGTATTCGGGTCCTGGATCCAAGTATCATTGTTAGATTTGGTTTCTTTTCCTTTTAATGATAAAGGTGGCATGAAAAAATTTTGTATTCTGATTGCCCTAATTCAACCATTTGTATCTGGATTTCTGAAACCAAATTAGTTCCTCCTGTAAGATGACCTTGTTAAATTCTTCCCATAAAGAATTTTCAAGCTTTCTAAGAAAGTAATTATCATTGTGATTCCTTCGACGGTCTATTCCTTCAAGCCTGCGAAGGATTCTTTTCTTTTTCAGAAGAATGCTGCTGATGTTGTTTTTATTCCATAATGTTGTAGAATCAACAAATTTAATTCTTCCTTCATTCCAATCATTATTTTTCCAGGATTCCTTAATAATCGGGTGGAAGGACTCTTCTAGCATCCAAGCAGCATGACACCGAAAAGGTCCTTTGTGATGGTAAGAATTGAATCCTTTCTGAAGTTGGATTCTGATAGGCCAATGATCAGAGCCATATTTGAGCAGATGATAAGAATTCGCTTGGTTGAATTTAATACACCATTCCACATTACAAAAAGCCCAGTCAAGTCTTTCTTTCACATTTCCTTTACCCCAAGTGAATTTATCACCAGAAAAATTTAGCTCAAGTAGATTGGAAGAATTGATACAGTCTCTAAATTATTTCATAACTTTTTGATTATGACCACTGCCTCCACATTTATCTTTACTGGAAAGATAGGCATTGAAAGCACCTATAATAAGCTAAGGATTAGAGATATCTTGAGCTAGGGATGTAATGGAGTCCCAAAGAGCAACATGTTCGTGAGGGTTGGGATCTCCATAAACACAAGATAAAAGGAAAGAGGTATTATTGGATAAAACATTAACTTTACAATGAAGAATTTGGACATTGAAATAAATATAATCAATTTCAATAGTGTTATTATTCTAAAGGATCCAAATACCTCTAGTATATCAATTCAACAGATCCAATCAGAGAAGCCTAATTTTTTAACAATCATATCTGCTCTAGAACTACTAGCTCTATTTTCAATTAAAATAAGAATTTGAGTGTTATGAGCGTAAGTAATTTCTTTGATGCGACGAGGAAAGCTTTTACTACAAGTGCCTCTACAATTCCAACAAATAATATCCATAAAGTAAAAATAAAGAATAAAAATAATAGGAGGGAATAAACCTGGAGAGAGGATTAGGCTTCATCCTCATTATCACTAAATTCATCATCCTCCAAGTCGTTATTGATGCATGCATTATCAAAATCCTCATCTAAGAGGTCATCATCAATAATATCATCATCATTGCCGTTCATATTCTATTACATAAGAATTGATTTCGAGAAGCCTCGGCCGGATCAGTGTTCATTTGAGTTTCAGGAACAAAATTGATGGAATTACTAGGATCAAGAGGCTCGATAATATCATAATTTTCAGCTGAATTAGGAGGAGAAATCAAATTAACATTAGAAATTTTTTTCCCCAGTCCTTGCGTCCAGATTCATGGATCAGGAGAGAAAGAAATATCCTCCATAGCTTTAAGTCTAGTATTGGTGGCTTGGTCTGCTGCGATGGGCTTCTTAGAATAGCCTAAGTCTCTTTTATTTCCCTTAATAATCGTGTGAATGCGTTTTGTGGGCCTGGAATTTATTTGCTTCAACTGCGGCCCACTAGGAGGAATTTCATTCAGCTTGAAACTCTTTGGGTCGTCCCAATTACAGCTCAGCCCATTATGTGAGGCTTCCTTTCCTTTCACCGAACCAGACTAAATCTCTTTTTCATTGCTAATATCATTGCTGCTGATTATTTCGGCCGCCGAATCCTTCTCATCAGCACGATTTCTCTTGTTTCCTGCCAAGTCTTTCCTTACCTATACCTTTCTGACAGTCTTAGCTAGGTTTTTCGTAGATGGACCATTGGAAGAAGCTGGAATGCTTGCCTTGCCATCGTCTTTGTGCTTTAGGTTGGTTAACACATCAAATCGAGATCTGTTAATAAAGCTAGTTCATTGATTTGGGTGATTTTGCTGATTACCCGTTGGATTCTTTGATTTTTGTGCTCGGGCTGGTCTTCGGAACTTCATCCACTCTCCACAAGTTTCGTCTGGTGGGTAAGCTTCTAATGAACCTTTATGAGCTTCGCCTTGCTAGTTTGTCTGGTATGGTGGCTGTTTGGTTGTGTTTCCTCGTGGATGATCTTGTGGTCTGTTACTTGCTTCGGCCTTATTCTTCTCCTTGTAGTCTTAGGATTATACGGACAAGAGCTTTTGTTGTGTCTGTAGCAACCACACCTGAAACATATAAGGTTTAAGCTTTCATATTCTACATTGTAAAGTTTGTCTCTGATAAGGATCCTTGGTACTAGTTTCTTTTGAAGGTCGATTTCCATACTATTTCGAACAAATTTCCCCCTCTCTGTTTTGCTTGTCTCGTTTTGGGTATTAGCTTCAGAGAGAGTGTTGATATCAACCTTCAGAGTTTTACCTATACAATTTCCTATCCTTCATAGGATTTCTTTATCATAGTATTGATTAGAAATATTATTTAATCTCACCCAAAGTGCTACCTTACCAAGAAGATTAGGGTTTAGGTTGAAACTCGGTGCCCGGTGCTGGACCATGATACAATGGTCAAAAATTGTCCATGGACCCCCATTAAGGATGTTTTGGTATGCTTCTTAATTTGTGGTTCTAATGATATAATAACCATTAACCAGATCAATGAGCTCAAAATCTCTGATCTACCACATTTTCACTAATCTTGGCTTAAGAGATTTAGGATTGAGCTGAATACCCAAAGTTTTAATAACTATAGCATCCACCCATGGAGAGCAGATTTTCTTCCATTCTTCATCTGAGATCTAGACACTAGGATATTGATCCATCAATTTCTTGGTATAATCTTGACTAGAGTCTCATTGATGTGTTCAGTGTTAATTCCCTCACTGATCCCATTACAATCATTGAAGCCCACAAGGGAGTCCTTATAAGAAATAGGAGCTTTAAATGCTTTGATTCCCTGTAATAAATTTTCCTTGCCTGGATTTTCTTCATTGTCTCGAGCACTTTGAGCATGAATATCCATGGGATGTGGTCCATGTTGTTTGCTTTTTGATCCTTTGTCTATCAGTTCTTCATCTACTTTGGAAGCATTTCTGTTTATTAAGTCAATCTCTTCTTTGAAAACAGGAGGATCCATGATAGCATCTTGAGAGTTTGAAGCAGAGAAAACGAAATCAGACTTGGAGTTCATTGCTCGCGAGATGAAATACTTTTTGAAGATTAATCACAACCAGTTTTCAATCGCTAAGCCAAAAGCTAATGCAAACATGAAGGGTTTTGTGCGAGTGAAAATCGGGGAAGTTTTGCATGTCTTAACTTTTTTTTTTTTTAAATTAGTTCGCTTGTTTCTGTAGTTCGATCCCGTGAATCCCAATCAGACGGAATTCACTCCTCAATCATCTCCTTGGCCTCTCACTATTTCAAACGAGAAAATTCAAAAGAGCAAATAGAAATCCAAGCTAGAGCTTTATATCTGTTACGTGTGCATCAGTGCATATAGGATCAGTCGGCCAAAAAAAAAAAAAATGAGAACGACATGAAAGTGACTAAACGTGAGGTGAAGCTGTAGGTTTGTTCATCACAACTCATCATTCATGTCTCTCACTGGCTCTCTAACAATCACCAAATTTAGATCTCAATATACTTTTTGACTTTTCCTTTTATTGATTCTGATTCGTTGTTCTTCCACACCCCATTTAGGATTGTCAGTGCGTTAGGGCTGCAAGCCAGATAGAAAAATATTTTCTCCACACGTCTCATTGGATCCAGTGGAGTTTTGGAAGCAATCAGAAAAATCAGTGTTTGTTCCTCACAAAATATTTTTTTTCCCTCTCAGAAAGATAGAGAGAAAGTGGTGAGGCTGGGTCGAGACTCCCAGATCTTCCACCCATTGGTCCTTTTCAGCTTCGTAGGATCGGTAAGAAACCTTCTCTGTTACACTTTCTCCTTCTTCTTCTTCTTCTTCTTCTTCTTCTTCTTCTTCTTCGCTTTTTCATATTATTGATTTCCATTGTGGGACTGGAGCAGAATTTGATTGGTAATCTTTAGCTCATCGATGTTTGCTTATATCTACTAATTTTACTTTCTATAGAGCGATTAAAGTAGGATCGCTCCATTCTGACGATTTTAGAAAGTGAGTGTTTCGTATTTAGTGATTACTACCACTACGTATATTGGGCTTGTGGGTAATTTACAAATGCATCAGCTTTCCGTCTTTGTCCACAAGATAATGAAAAATATTTCCCATTGAGCTTCATCACTACACTTGTTAGCAGATCCAACGCTTACTTTGCATTTTTTTTAACAATATATTACACGCCATTACTACTTGCTTCGTGGCGGTGATGGATTGTAAAATTTACCATGATTCTTAATTTCCTCGAGTATTTACTTCATAATTTTTGGTCAATCTTGCGCATTGACTGCATGTTGCCTAACAATTTGATGATTGGGTGGATCATTTCATTTCTATGTTTGTTATGAATTTACAACTTGCTAATTTTATTCGTTTGAATCATGTTGTTTTGCCTTCGGATCTGGTTCTAGATCTCGATCCATTATTGTACTATATAGCCAAGATAATTTGTTCATAAAACGTTCTTTTTTATTATTTATGTATCTAGTTCTTACCAAGAATTGATCTATTTCAGGGACTTTATGGCCAAGCCTAGTTCGGCTGATGGTAGGACTAGAAGCTCCGTGCAGATCTTTATAGTAGCTGGTCTGTGCTGCTTCTTCTATATATTGGGTGCATGGCAGAGGAGTGGTTTTGGAAAAGGAGATAGCATAGCTCTGGAGATTACTAAGAAAAATGTAGAATGTGATTTAGGTCCAAATTTAAGTTTCGATTCTCACCATGGAGGAGAAGTTAGCAAAATGAATGAATTCAATTCAAAACCTAAGTTATTTGAACCATGTGATGATGGTCATATTGATTACACTCCTTGCCAAGATCAAATGCGCGCCATGACCTTTCCCAGAGAAAACATGAATTATAGAGAGAGGCACTGCCCCCCTGAGGAAGAGAAGTTGCACTGTTTGATCCCAGCACCCAAGGGCTATGTAACACCGTTCCCATGGCCGAAGAGCCGTGATTATGTACCGTATGCAAATGCTCCCTACAAGAGCTTGACGGTTGAGAAAGCTATCCAGAACTGGATACAATATGAGGGAAATGTGTTCAGATTTCCTGGTGGGGGAACCCAGTTTCCTCAAGGTGCAGATAAATATATTGATCAGATTGCGTCTGTAATACCTATAAAGAATGGGACAGTGAGGACGGCTCTGGACACTGGTTGTGGAGTATGTTAGCAACACCCAATATCCTTATGAATTTTGTCCAACTACCTTTGCCAATTTTATTTTTAATGCTTGACATTAGTAACGTTTGGTTTTAATGTATATACTCAATGCCATTTCTTCTTTGGGCTCAGGTTGCTAGTTGGGGTGCATATCTTTGGAGCAAAAATGTTATTGCCATGTCATTTGCCCCAAGGGACTCTCACGAAGCGCAAGTGCAATTTGCTCTTGAAAGGGGTGTACCTGCCGTTATTGGTGTTTTGGGTACCATAAAGATGCCTTATCCATTCAGTGCCTTTGACATGGCACATTGTTCTCGGTGCTTGATTCCATGGGGAGCCAATGGTAGGACTTCTATGCTGAAAAACTATCTTCTTAGCTATGAATCACATTTTTTAAATGAGACAGCATTTCAAACCCCCTCCCTCCCAACCAATTTTTTTCTCCCTCCCTTTCCTGCTTCTATTTGATATTGCACATTGTTTCATCGTGACAGTATCAATTTGGAATTGAATTTTTGATTGTTCATTTGCAGATGGAATGTATATGATGGAAGTTGATCGAGTTCTTAGACCAGGTGGTTATTGGGTGCTTTCAGGTCCTCCAATCAATTGGAAGGTTAACTACAAAGCCTGGCAGCGACCGAGGGAGGAACTTCAGGAAGAACAGAGAAAGATAGAAGAGATTGCTAAGCGTCTTTGCTGGGTGAAGAAGTCTGAGAAGGCTGAAATGGCCATTTGGCAAAAGACTGTAGGCTCTGATTCATGCCGTAGAAGACAAGAAGATGATTCTCAAGTAAAATTCTGTGAATCAACAGATGCTGATGATGTCTGGTATGTCTTTTTTTTTTTTTATGTCTTTTGGAAGGGAATTCTGGGAAATAATTGTGAAAAAGATGACTGATTTATCAGTTAATGGAAGACAATTTCACCTTGCTTCAAATGCATTTTTGTGTTGATTTTATAAATACTGTTAATATTAAGTGCCTTGTTTAGCTTCGTTCCTAAATATGATGTGCACTGACTTGGAAATTTTTGTTCGCTAGGTACAAGAAAATGGAGGCCTGCATTACACCCAATCCTGAAGTCTCTAGCGGTTCTCTAAAACCATTTCCAGACAGGCTATTTGCTGTGCCTCCAAGAATTTCCAGCGGCTCTGTTTCTGGAGTTTCTGTTGAGAAATACCAAGAAGATAGCAAAAAGTGGAAAAAGCATGTGAATGCTTATAAGAAAATCAATAGACTCCTTGATTTGGGAAGGTATCGCAACATTATGGACATGAATGCAGGTTTGGGTGGTTTTGCTGCAGCCAGTCAATCTCCAAATTTGTGGGTCATGAATGTTGTGCCCACTATAGCTGAGAAAAGTACCCTTGGTGTTATATATGAGCGAGGGCTAATTGGCATCTATCATGACTGGTATGGTTCTCTAGATTCTTCTACCATAAATGTGATACAAACCACGAAGTATACTGTTGTTATGTGTTATCTTGTCTTGAATTGCCAAACTATGGCCTGTTAGTTACATGATGTATGTAACAAGAAAAAATTATGGTGTGTTTGGTTTAATTTAATGGGGATTTGGATTTGAATTTGGATTGAATCCTTCATTTGGATACACAAACATTTATGGATTTGGATTGGATTATGGGGATTTGGATTTGGATTGAATCCTTCATTTAGATACACAAACATTTATTGATTTGGATTGGATTCAAATCTAAATCCATTTCTTGTTATATTTCCTTTACAATTTCAAATTCTATCTATATCTTAGTTATTTGAAATTCTAGTCACTTCAAACCTCCTATTCACTTCGTGTTTTCACTATTGATATCTTTATGATTCTCATATCTTCTTTTACTTCTTGTTTTCATCTCTTATCGATTGAAAAATAGAGGAAAACTTATCACTTACAATTTTTTGTTTTTATTTTGAATCTCAGCTCATCTCTTTTCTTCATTTGAAATTTTTTATATTGCTCAAATAAAGAATTTTAAATGTGAGATTTGAAATTTAAAAGTCAAATCTAAATCCACCAATCCAGGCCCTGCTTTAGAGTCTTTAAATTTTTAGATATTAGCTTATTTCTTGATCTTTTAATACTTGTCTATTCTTGATCCAGGTGCGAAGCCTTCTCTACGTATCCAAGGACATATGATCTCATTCATGCCAATGGTCTTTTCAGTCTGTACAAGGACAAGTGAGTGCTTCTATTTTTATATGCATGTTCAATTATTCATCTGATCTTATTATTTCTTACAAATTTTATATTTAACATTTTAGTCCTTGTTCGGCGATTCTGGATTGACTGTTATGAAAAAGAAAACTTCTGCAACTGACCAGACGCTGCCATATTGAGTGTAATAGAAGTCCTATTTGGTTTAAATAAGTTTGAGCAATGCTTGTTTATGTTCGTCTCAATGCCTGATTATCTGGAAAAATATCAATGCACCCAAGTAACCATTATTTAGATGTTAACTGTGTATACATTATCATCATTTATGAATGCTTGTTTTACTGTATTGAAACAGCTATAGCATCTTAGATTCTTAGGTCATATTAAGCTTCTCAAACAAATCTCCTTTAATAGCATAAATAAGCATCTTCTTGTGGTTAGGATCTCATGAGTCTGATGTAGAGTTAGCTCATCTGCAATTACTGTTTATTACACTAGTGCCTGAACATGAGTGTATGATGATCAATTGTAGATGTGATGCGGAAGATATTCTTCTAGAGATGGACCGGATCTTGCGACCCGAAGGCGCTGTCATACTCCGAGATGAAGTCGATGCACTGATCAAGGTTAAGAAATTAGTTGAAGGCATGAGATGGGATACTAGACTGGTGGACCATGAGGATGGTCCTCTTGTTCCTGAGAAGATTCTAATTGCTGTCAAGCAGTATTGGGTTGCTGGGGGAAATTCCACATCAGCTCAATAGCCATTGAAAGACAAAAGAATATTATCTTGGTGTCAAGAAGCCACTTTTCTGTATGCCACGCCTGATAGCGTTCTTATGATTGGTTAACTTATGCTCAATTGTCACTCTGCCAATTTTTTTTTTTAAGTTAATTTATTGATGGACAATGCCGCAAAAGCTATCTATTTCCTAGGTTATGGTATTATTGTAAGCTTATTTTTGGCATAACTTGAATTCTATTGTAGTACAATGTAAAGTTAACATATCAAGGTGATAAAAATCTTAAAAGAAAAAGAGAAAACATGTTTGCTAGTCTGATGTAAGGTGCTGTCCTATTATTGGATATGGATTTTCTCCACTTTGTCTTCACTTCCTCTCCACTTATTATTTTCACCGTTGGATAAAATATGGATGGTTTATATTTAATATTTTGCAAGGTAAATTTGTTTTTTTTTCCACCTTTTCCAGTATAATTCTAATATGTTCAGATGAAACTTAAGCATTTTATATTTTTTTATTCTCATTTAGTGTTATAATAATAAATAATATTAAATCTGAACATTATGGATGACATCTAATGCAAATATTTATTCAGCTAAAATCCACTGAGAAGGATGTTGCATGTTTTGCACGACTGACCTTGACTAGAGATTAAGGTAAATTTAACTCCAAATACCTCCCTTTCAACATACTAGTATGGTTGAGCTGCATCTCGAGGGGTGAGATTTTAATGAAAGGAAGAGGAGAAAGAATGATACTTCTTTGGTTTGACTTGAAAGAATGTGAGGGGAGGAATTTTAAGGGCAACTTAAGATGATAGTGTTGTTATTAAGATAATAATGTCAAACTATTTTAGTTAAAAGCCTTCCTTCCAAAAGTTCTTGTTGTTTGAGGAGAGAGTAGGCCTCTCTTTTATTAAAAATTAGCTAACCAAATAAGGGAAAGGGAGTATTGATAATTAAATTGGTCATTAAACCAATCAAAATACTGGTTCAATAGTTGATAAGCAAAACTATAGTTAAACCATGATCGGATTAGTGTTACACAAAATATTTTATTAAACTATCAAAATGCTAGTTTAATGGTTCACCAATTTAATCAGGTGAGTTGATCTAGATTTTCATATTATGATGTCAAACTGCTCAAAGTGACATGAATAAATATTAAGTGAAATAATAAATTTGAATGTGAGATTGAAAAGAGATCCTCCTACATATTCCAGAACTTGGCTTGCAAAACTAGGAAACCCCACAAGAAATTGTACAACGTCGCAAGGGAATGCAATATTATCTGCTTCTAAGCTCCAAAATCACGAGGATTGATCATTCATAAAACGTCCGAAAAGGTCCCATGGTCTTTCAAGACCATAGAGAGGTTTAACATATTGATAATCTTAGAAAAGTAATGAGCCCATGAGTTGGCTCCTTCAATGGGATTTAGATTCAGCGTCACTGAATTTAGTAACTGGTGGTGAGACTGAGAACGCATCCCAGCTCTTTGTTCACTAAATCCAAATCTTTTGGAGTGATCTCATAGATATTTTCAAAATTATTTATCTTGCGCATTTTCAAACAAAAAATTTGGTCCATGTGAATATTCAAATTTTATTAGTAGTAAAGTGACATTTGGTAGCAAGGAAGAAAAGAGATTATGCAATTATAATTATTACTAAAAACATTTAATTATTTTAGTACGGGGTATGCAAATAATTTCCTACCTTCACAATTTTTCTTCATCCTGTTTTTCATTTCAATCCAGGCATCAAATGGGTCTAAACTTTTTGGCACTTCCAGTTGCATACACAAAGGAGCCCACAGATCAAAATGGTTTTCTTTTTTCAAGGGTTTTTTTTATTTTAAAGTAGCTTTTTCTGTCCCCCTTTTTTCTAGGATTTTCTTATGGGAGCTTTTCTCTCTTCGTCAGTGGGAGTATTTTTCGCAACCTTTGTTCTCCAATGCCTCTCTTGCCACCTACTGTGAGAGAGTTGCCTAGCGTGAGCGGGTGTATGGTTGGTTTTTTTTTTTTTTTTGTCTCTTTTTGTTGGCGTGTGTTGTTTCATCCTTCGATTTAAGTTGCCGAAAATTGAATGGAGATTCCATTAGCGTTAGTGAGGCAGAGGTTGTCTATCCAAAGGAAAGACAATTTGCACGATGGTTAATCTTGGGTTTTGTGACTTATTCTTGCAGGCTAAGAGGCATAAGATTTGTTCAACATGGATTTTGATGATTTTGCGTTTGTTGGTGGGTGTCTCATCTTGGGCTTCTCAATTTGACAGGTAGTGGTTTGCTATCTTTGCTAATGGTTTTGGTTTTCTCTATGTGGAATCTGATATATGGAAGTGGTAAATCTACTATATGGTTAGTTGTTATTGTTTACAACTTTACAAAGGGATGAGACCATTGGTATGATTTTAATCTCTTGGAGTTTTCATAGAAGCAACGACGTTTCTTACTTTCTAGTTTTGTTTTAAGTTTGGGATGATCCTGGTTGTGTTGTTCTTTTCTTTGTTTGCACTGCCTTGTATAAAGTATTAGGTTTTTGTTGTTGTGTTGCTATTGCTCTTATTTGTATTTTATTTGTTGTACTTGATTTGTTTCAACCCTTCAATTGTCAATGATATTTTATGTTTCTAGGGGGAAGATCAAAGTAGTGGAGTTAGTACCATTCCCCTTGTTAGTTTTGTTAACCTCTAAAATATCATATTATTTCATCACATTTTTCTTAGATTCTAATCTATTTTGGCTCAATTATATATGTTTTTATTGCCCAAATTAGGAAAATGTGCATTTTCTTTTGGGTTTGTATTTTTAGCTTTGATTTGATATTTTTAGCTTAATTACATGTTATTTTGGTTGAAGTTTTGATTAGAAGCATTTTTGAAGCTTTGTGGATGTTTTTGGAAGGCTTTTGGATGAAGAAATCAAGCAAAAAAATGAAGAATTTTTGTTAGTTACAAAAACAGTGGAAAATTGCCAAAAATGTCCCAAAATCGTAACTTTTGTTTGCGATTTTTACCGTTGTCAGAAAAATGCTGTGTTTCATTTATCAGAAATTAGTTGGCTATGAAATATATATGCTGAGAGCTCAACCCATAATGCATTCTTCAAACTTTTAAATATATTTGGAGCTTGGGTGTGCTAGGGTTTAGGCATTGGAAGTGCTTGAAGTAAGGAAATAGAATTTTGAATATATTTGGAGCTTCTTTTCTTTGATTTTTTTTATTCCTCTTTCCTTTCCTATATTGTATTCTAAAATGGGTCCAATTATTTTGTATATTTGTAGCTTATGGATAATTATGAGTAGCTAAACTCTTTATTCTGGGGGCAGCACTTGTTGAAGCGAAGGTAGGCATCTCTATCTACAAGCTCTACCTTGCACTGTCGTTGGGCAGTGTGTGGGACAGCTATCTAGTTGATAGCCTGCTAATCTAGCATCTCCACACTAATATGGGGGATAGCCCTCGAGGGATGCACTAGCTCAATCCAAATTAGCTTGCCACTAGTTGAGGATGAGAAGACTCTAAGTAGACCTTTAGAGACTTGGAGGAGGAGCTAGTGTATGGCAACCACATCTTTCTAGGAGTAGTAGCTAAGAGGAAAACCTCATCCCTTAATAATACGGCAGGCTTATTGTTCCAATCCACCAGATATCTATACCAAGGGGGAAGGTGGCAGTTTGGAATGTTTAAAGCCTTCAAGGTCCTTTGTAAGGACCAGCTTTACTAATTGAAGAACTCAAAAAAGTTCTTTGAGTTGATTAGCGGATGACCACCTAGAAGGTAGGTGAAGGGGTGGTTGGCATAGGAATCTTCAAGGAAAGGTTCTCGACAGAGAAGAGGGAAGAAAGCACTAGTACAAAAATGACTTTTTACAGTGGTTAAAAATGATTTTTTACAGCAGTTAAAGAGGCAATGTTGTTCCAGGGGGTGTAGAAAGTCTATCTTTTTACATCGATTATAAACCTGATGTAAAAATTAAATTTTTTACATTGGTTATAAAGCCAATGTTGAAAATTATATACAAGAAAATAAAAAAATTTACTTTAACTTTTAACACGGGTTGGGCTCCCAACTGGTGTTAAAAGTGTACTTTTTACACCGGTTATTACCATAACTGATGTAAAAAATATTATATTCTACAACGGTTATGGTAATAACCGATGTAAAAAGTATTTTTTTATACTATATTCATTTTATCAATTTTACCCATTCCTGTGCATAAAAATTGCCAAATCAAATAGCTCAATTAATTTACAATTGTTTATCAAGTAGTTATTAACTATACAAAGCTATTTAACTATTAAAAAACTAATAATTATCTAAATTGTCAAAATTGCCATTCCTATGCATAAAAATTGCCAAATCAGATAGCTCAATTTATTTACAATTGTTTATCAAGTATTTATCAACTATACAAAATTATTTAACTATTAGAAAAACTAATAATTGTCTAAATTGTGTCAACTATCAAAATTAAAATATGTCTAAAAGTAACAAAAAACCTCACAAGTTCTCTACAAAATAGGTTGCCTAACGTATGCGAATGTCTTCAATTTCAACTTTAGAAAATGCATCCGAATTGTCGAACATCTAAAATTTGATTCATAAAATAGGCATATTAATCAATCTGAAATAACATAATAAAATAAAACTTTTAAAAATATATTTATCTCTTTTGAAAATTCGGTCATGCCTAATGTGATAATATTGAGCATGTATCTCATGACATATAGACTGCACAAGTTCGTCATCACCAGTTGTCTATGACTCTGTATAAGAACAAATCATAAAAAATTAGTAAGAAATCTTAATAATTGAACATATTAATAAAGTATAGCATCACCTTTGGCTCAATCCATGTGGGATCCTTGAGCTCATGTCCATGCTTTTATAAGACTACATTTTGATATGTTCTCATTGCCCTATGATCAATATTACCAAGTTAGTAAAAATATTCAAAAAAAAATTAAATTAAATAGTTTAGTAAAAGTATTCTTACAAGTCTATTGTCTTCTTCATTTCTTTCCCAAGTTTGTAATAGAGGGAGCATAAAAAGATGATAGTGTTGCTCTTCATTGAAAGAACAAATAACTGCCAATGGTCCCTGCTAAACATGATACAAGTTAAAGTAAATCCATATTGAAAAACTATTAATTATAAATTGATCCTTACGAGTGCACATATAGAGCCATAAAAACGTCCTTTTTGACTTCACATATTCTCTGTTGGAGGTACACGGCCCTCAAAATCTGGAGTATTACCTTTCTCTATCATGTGATGAGGGCAAAGGAATCCAAACTTATCACCTTTTCCCGATGTA